AAAAATAAGCTTTTTCTGTCTATTTGAATGAAACTTAATACATTAAATTTTAAACTAAAAAATTTTTGAAATTCTAACTAAAGGAAATACAGAAAAATACTGTAAAACAGCACATCTTAAAAACTAAAAGAAAAACTTCACAGGTTTTCAAAAAAATGCTCGAAACCGGCTTGGTTATAAGTTAACCTGCACAACACTTGGCTGGGTATTGGATTAAACAATTTTTTTTTCGAGAAATTGAGTCATAAGCAGAAAAGCAATTTTCCGTTATTCGAATTTAGCCGCCAAAATTGAAAAAATCGCCTTCGAAGTTCCAAAATGAGCTTATTTCAAACATTAATTTAAATTATGGTTTGTCAATTATTAAAGAGTGAAAGAAATTATTTACGTGTCTTACGTTTTCCTTCCTTTTCAATGGCGTATAAAATTTTTGGTCAGGCTGATATGAGAAATACTGTGAGATGTCAGGTTAAGTTAGGTTAAGAGGTCGATCGAGAAAGGCCTCACTTGGACAGCTGAGAATGCCGGTCCGTTGTGGTACCTAAAACTCTTAAATACTAGATCATAAGACCCTTACAGATCTATAAAACGCTTTGCGCCTATCACAAATTTGTTAACACAGCTAATATTTCGGCTATGTCTTCTGGTTCGCCGAAGATAAGATTACGGAGATGTTTCAGCCTCAGTCTTGCAAAAGCCGGACAATCGAGCACGCTATAAGATGTCAAAGTTGGATCTTCGAAAAAAATAAACACTTTCGAAAGGTACCAGCCAGATTTATGAAATATTGATAGCGTTGTAAAAGCTTTACATGCCCGTTTAAAATGGTTTCGTATATACCATAAAAAAAACAAATGATATATACATACGTGTATTTATAAAGTTTTTATGAAAATTCAGTTGAATCGTTGTTTTTATTCCTTTTTTATAATCAATATCATTTCATCAATTGCCGCAGCTGAATCTGCTTTTGCGATTTTTTTCTTTCTTGGTACCGCTGTATGGTGAAAATGTTTTCTCTGCTCATCAGATTCGCTAGAAATTGCCTTTCTAACCAATGAACATGCATTGATTGATAAAACGTAGAAATTTCTTTATTGTTTATGACTTAATATCTCGAAAAAAATTGTTCGGTCCAATACTCCAATATACGCCATAACTATATTCTACTTTTAAATTCTGTTATTAAAAGAAATAAATTAATATTTTATTTTATTCTTACATGCTATCAAAAAGTAACTTGAAATAATATTTTCGTTAAACTGTGTAATCATAACCCAGCTTACAGACATTGCGTGCTTTTGCCAGGGCCCAGAATACCGGCGCACAGTTAAATCATCTCATATCGTGCTTTTATTTTCCGGCAAATTGATACCAAATTTAAAACTTCCTGTTTCCCGCATGCTGCTATTTACCCTATCTTGTACCATTGTTGTTGTTGCGCATAAAAACGAAAAGTACTTCAATTGCGTGAAGTTAAAGTACTTTCGGCCACCGCAACAAATCCGACGCACTCATGCCACTAACTTTATTTTACATACACACATCCGCCTTGCTCTCCGCTTCGCGTGCCAAAATGAATGCAATGCGAAGATTTGCACAATAACAAACCGCCGAGCCGGCTGCATATAACTGGCAGGCGTGATTTTCGTTATTTGTTTGTAAAAAAAATAAAATACAACAACAAAGTATTATGACGTTTGCTTTTGGTGCTGTTGTTACTCACAGTGTTTGCTCTTGTTATTGCTTTTCAACAACAGGTTTATTAGCGTTTTACGACTTCGCGTTATAATCCTCTTATTGAACGTTGTGTTTTTTCGGCTCTCCTTTTCTCCCTCTCTCTCTCTCTCTCTTTTTTTTTTTTGTAATATTTTAAGTGATTTTCCGCGAAGGCATTGTGCAATTTTTTAATTGACAGACAATTTAGTTTGCCCGGTTGTTTGCTAAAGTTATTTACAGACTTTTGTTGTGAAGTGAATTCTGACTGGGCTTAATAGGAATTAAATAAAAGTTTATGGCACTCGATTAACGGTTGATCGGCAAAGCTTTATTTACAGTGTGCAATTTTTGTTGTGGTTATTGTACAGTTACTGCACGTGGACCTTGAAATTAAAGGGAATTAATTTATCTGAGTGCATTCTCTAGACTTGTTTTACAGTAAATATTGCAGTTGAAATCAATATTGTTACCGAGTTACTTTCCTAAATTCGTTTAAAGGAGAAAAAAATTTATTTAATGGATAGATCATAATACTTTTAAAACTATGTAAGCTTTCCAAAGCTCAAGTTGCCGCTTTTATTGATTATCTAAGATAACCGCAATTAATTATGCATCCTGTGTCGACTATTTTTAGATGGAGTTTGAACACATCCCTGTACAGAAAGGCTTATCAAACCAGTGCCCCCATGACTATTGTTTATTTTGAATGCTTTATGACCACCACACAATCTCCTCAAATAATATGCGAAATACTCTTCATAATAAATTCCTTTTAAATATGGAGGACCGGCTGTCAATCTATTTTGTTTTGATGATTATATATATTATTTATTATAATCCATCTCTTACGGCAGTGTGAAAATGGATAAATTGGATCATAACCCCGCCCACTCCCCTTATAACAGTTTTTATACCCTGAACAGAGTATATTAAGTTTGCCACGAAGTTTGTAACACCCAGAAGGAAACGTCGCGGACCCTATAAAATATATATATAAGTGATGAGCATCATGAGCTGAGTTGATTTAGCCATGTCCGTCTGTCCGTCCGTCCGTCCGTCCGTCTGTATATATGCAAATTAGTCCCTCAGTTTTTAAGATATCGATCTGAAATTTTGTACCTGCCCTTTGCTCACTAAGAAGCTGCTCATTTGTCGGAACGGCCGATATCGGACCACTATAGCATATAGCTGCCATACAAACTGAACAATCGGAAGCAAGTCCTTGTATGGGAAACTTTTTTATTTGACGTAATATCCTCGCGAAATTTGGCATGAGTTATTTTCTAAGGCAAGAATATAATCTCCGAAGAAATTGTTTAGATCGGATCACTATGTCATATAGCTATCATATCAACTGATCGATCGGAGTAAAGTGTTTATTTTTTATTGCCGATTCACGAAATTAGATCTGTTATTGTAAGGAACCTTTGTATCTGTGAAGGGTATTATAGCTTCGGTGCAACCGAAGTTAACGTTTTTTCTTGTATTAATTGTTATTAATGTGATAAATCAATTACTAAATCTACCAGAGACATTGAATTTTACACCAAGGATGGTACAAGAGGGTTTATTGGAAGTCGTCGAAGTCAAAATTGGACGATGGGCGTGTGCCTGCCCACATTTTGGTAAAAACACATATCTCGAATCACTCGACCAATTTCAAACAAATTCGATAGGTAGCAATATTTTAAAGGGGTATTCTAGTCTAGAGACATGAATTTTAGGTAATTTTAAAAGTTTCGTATAAAAACGCAATCAATATTTTTACTATAGAGTTTTTTATCAGTTATTTATTAATGTTACAAGAGTACAGCAAAACTTAAAAAAAAAAACTTAAAGCCTACACTAGAATACCCATTAAGATTCCTATGTTAAAGATTCATATGTCACAATGGGCGAAATCAGAAGAAAATCGGACCTTCTTCCTATATAACACAACTTTAAATTCCATTTAATTAATTCACCTACCAGTATAGAAATAAAGCACCAATGAATATATCGTAATAAAACTTTGTACAAAAAATGCCCCTAACGTTGTGCCATCAGTCTCCAGATACTGAAGATGTTGATCCCAGGGCCTATAGCTGACTTTTTACTGCAAATATGGGTCAATATGTGAGCTATCTTAGTAAAATTAATTGAGCTCTTTTTCTAATAACAGTATAGCTCTGCACGTCAAATGAATAAAATCGGCATAAATCTTGCTCTAGCCAATATATATACATATAACTAATATCAGGATTTTCAAACATCTGGTAGACTTAACTCCGTATATATTGGTGAGCTATCTTCATAATGCTTAGGAAGCATTTTTTTTTATTTTTATTAATAATAAAGATATTGCAAATTGCGAGAGTACAAAATATTTGGTTACATCCGAACTTAGCACTTCCTTACTTGTTTTTATTTTTTGTTTAAAATTTGTAAGTATTACTATTTTTTTGTAAATATTACTAAAACATGCAAAAATGGAGAAAAATTAAAAATAGCAGGCATTCAAAAAGTTCTATACTAAAACTTATAAGGTAATTTTGAGCAAATAAAACGCATAAAAACTCATAGAGAGGAAATTCTAACAGAAGCTTTGATGTACATTAATAAAATAAATGTTACGCACAAAATATCGCAAAACACACTTAACAGGACTGATAGAAGAGGAGAATGACTTGAAAACAACACTCCATGATATACTCACCACTTTTAGAAAAATAAAACCCACCACATTTCAATAAATACGCAAACAAAAGCGGGGTAATGCAAAACCAGCACACAGAAAAGTAGAAAAAACAAACAAGCGGGCGCTCTAATACACCAACACCAATGTGCAACGCAAATGTATACATAAGTAAAACCAAAAGCAAAAATAAATTAAAAAAGCAACAAAATGCAAACACAAAAAAGAAAAAACACGAACACCGTGCAAAGTAATGCCAACTGCTGTCAGCGGCAAAGAACAAGAAAACGACTACAAAAACAAAATCACAGTTGTCTGATTCGTTGTGATTCGTCTGCATTGTCGGCGCTATTACTGTTGGTAACGGTAAAGACGAAAGCGACGTTGTCGTTGCAACTATTGTCTTTCTACATGCTTTATACAACAATATACCTACATATGTTTGTATGCGTGTGTGTGTGTGTGTGTCAATGTGTGTTTTGTTTTTGTCTCCCAATTCGTGTGCGGTGGCGACGAGTATTAGTTCGCCGTTCGGGTCACTCATACGACACGCTGTAGCCACACTTCGCCAATGCTTCCGGCAAATGAAACCGACCTATTGCGAGTCAGTTGTTTGTCGGCATCGTTTGCGAGCGGTTGTATTGTGCAAATCATAACGGTACCATTTTATGGCGCGCAATCAGAAACGTGTGTGTTGATAATAATTTGTGACAAAATAATTATATACTAAATTACTTAGACCAATTAAGGAAACGTGCCGTCCCCAGGTGAAGTGTGTCAAGTGTTGCATGCAAAACATGTGGCGTAGAATCGTTTTGGGAAATAATATAGTTTTGAGTGTTTAGTTGTGCTGGAGGCCCTTATATACAAAAACATGTGCTAAAGTGTATATATTATAAATTTATGGAAATTTAAATTAACTTACATATCGAGCGTGAAAAACGATTTGTAAGTTTCCCTTTGTATGTTATTTTCGATGAAATATATGTATTTGGAAATGTGCTAAATGTGTTGCTCGTCATCGCTAGTAATTCTTAAATTTTGATATTAAAAAATAAATCAGTTGCTTCTAAAACAACATTCAAAATTACTCGCTGGATATGTCTCACTTAAATATAAGTTCGCACTGAGTGCCTTACAATCCTATTATTTTAAATTTAAACTGCTCTGGTATTATTCTAATAGATAATTTATTATTTTTTATGGTTCTCATTCAATATATAGAGCGAATATCAGTTCCAAAACCTTATCAACATACCTATCTTCGTTGTAACAAGATCCTAATTCGTATGAATAGTCTATACTTGCAAAAATGACTGTTGAAGTAACTCGTTAATTAACCGACAATTTTGTAAACTAACTTCTGATATCCCTTATCAATTTATACTACTTTTTACAGCCCCTCACATGTTAAACTACATACATAAATGTAACTGCAAACTATACTTACTCAACTTAACATTCTCACTGCGAATTTTAACCGTTTTGGAATATCTCTAAATTTGACAAAACAAAAGGAGCATAAAGCACGCTCGTTGACACTTTTTTGAAAATATTATTTTAATCAAGAAAAGTGAGCTATCAGCATCTGAAACATATTCATAAGACCTGTTGATATCGCACTACATTTCTTAAACTACTATTGTTATCGGCTCAAACACTTTAAGCATATATTTTAAGGTAGTACAAAACACCAGCCAATGCAATAACTCTGGCACTCAGCCTTTATGCAGCATCTCCTCCCGAAACATTAAAACAATTTATTTGCAATAAAGATTCATTGATCATACATCTGATAAATGTTACACAGACTGATAAAAAAATTTTCATGTATTTTAATTACAAAACTTTATTATCGGCTTCAAAATAGGCTGCTTTCAAGCCAATACAACTATGCCAAAGGTAAATTCAATTTTTCCTACACTTATCATAAGTCTCAACTGTGATGGGCTTCATTGCCTTCAGAGAGTTTTAGTATTTTTCGATTTAGGAGCATTTTTAGAGCGCCAATCGTTGGCTTGTTAAAAAGTTTCAATGTTATATTCATAAGCCCAAAACATTAACCCAAATGAATTGAGTCGATCCATATGAGAGGTTGAGTTCCGCTGCTATCTCTCTGATGATAACACAATGCCATTTTAAAGCTCTGTTTCACTAAGTTTATTGATGACTTTCACTGAATGCTTTGTGCCGCTCAAGTACTTGTGTTCGTCATAAAGTAGACTCTCTCAAACATTTCTGCACTGTTTTCAACAATTCCGTAGCATTGATACCATTGGAAATGTAAAATTTTAATAAAACTCGTGGTTCAATTTTTTCCATGTTAAACATCGACAGACAAACTTTTCATATCGTAAACAAACAGCTGCCAAACACACTATTTGACATATGGAAATCAAAGTTCGTGCCATCATTCAAAAATAACTAATGGAATCCAGATCAAATTTGATCAGCTAATATATGTATATGTATTCAGATACTTAAAGTGTTCCTATACGTTTTCCAGTGTCTACATTTTGCTTAGATTTGCATTGATTGCTGTAGAAGTTTATTACTAATAATAGATAGTTTGAACCTTTTCTGCTACGCCTCGTATCGTCTGCTTACAATAGGGAGTCAAGTATTTAAAAATTTTCTTAAATTGTGCTTAGAATAGAAATAAAAACAAATATAACAAATTGGTTTTTAATTTTGTAATATCTAGCAATTCAGCTTTATCTCTCAAATTGAAAACATAATTGAAATAAATGCAACGCGTAAGATTGTAAACAAATCAAACGAGGCAGTTCTAGATATAGTTGTTATACGATTGAAGAATTTGATCAATACATAAAATACTGAGCGTTAAAATAATGAAGCGTTTAGTCTAAACTTTTAAAACCCGGTTTCAAGAACAACTGAGAATTACGTATTCGATTTAAATTGTTTATTTAGCATAACCAAAGCCTCTCTCGCCTCTAAGCATATTTCTGTTATCTAATGGGTTTTATTGAATTTGAAAATTTGCATAAAAATACCTGTTAGCGTTTGTAATCGCCCTTTATGGCTAACTGATTAAATCCTTTCTTTCGAATAATTGTTGGATGAGTGATTCATCTCATGTTCTCATAAGCATAGTGGGTGCCTATATTCACTACATAACTTTGTAATTGCCATAAGCCTTCAGGACCTTAAAGTTTTGAGAAAATTTTAGATAAAGTTAGATCTATGACAAACAATACTATTAAAATAAACCTGTATTAAGCAATTTTATAACAAAATCTGGGAGCATTTGGTAGTAACCGTGTAATTTCTTCATTTCAGAGTAGATTTAATCCTTTTTTAACAAGTTATATAACGAAGTACGTAAACCTGAATAAAAATGACTTCTATTAAATATTCGAACTTAAAAATTTCAATACATAACAAAATATAAGGTTGTCATATATCTCCCTTCCGCTTTTTGTCTTTGAATTTCGCGGCTATGTACAAAGCGCTACAGAGCTCGTATCTGGCAACACTATACATAATTTGAAAGGTCTTGACATAACCTACAAAATAACGCTATGCATGATTAGTTTGGATATTGCGTTCCACAGTTATAGACGTGTAAACATGGAGTTCACTAACGCCGAAATTCGCGCTATTTTAAAGTTTTCCTTCGTTAAAGGCAAATCCGCTAGAGAAACGTTCCGTGAGATTAATGGTGTTTTGGGGATGGTACTCTATCACACTCGAACCGCGGAGGAATGGTTTCGACGATTCAGAGCCGGTGAAAACGACACCATGGATAAGCCAGCCGGCGGAAGACCTGTGACGACAAATACCGATCAAATCATGGAATACATCGAGTTAGACCGGCATATGGCATCTCGTGACATCGCCCAGGAGATGGGAGTTAGCCACCAAACCATTTTGCACCATCTGCAGAAGGCTGGATACAAAAAAAAGTTTGATGTTTGGGTGCCGCATGATTTGACGCAAAAAACCTTCTGGACCGAATCAACGCCTGCGATATGCTGCTGAAACGGAAAGAACTCGTCCCATTCTTGAAGCGGATGGTGACTGGCGACGAAAAATGGATCACATACGACAATATCAAGCGAAAACCGGTCGAAGGCCGGTGAATCGTCCCAAACAGTGGCCAAGCCGGGATTGACGGCCAGGAAGGTTTTGCTGTGTGTTTGGTGGGATTGGAAGGGAATCATCCACTATGAGCTGCTCCCATATGGCCAGACGCTTAATTCTACCATCTACTGCGAACAACTGGACCCCTTGAAGCAGCGATCGACCAGAAGCGTCCAGAATTGGCCAACAGGAAGAGTGTAGTGTTCCACCAGGACAACGCCAGACCACACACTTCGTTGATGACTCTCAGAAGCTACGGAGCTCGGATGGGAGGTTTTATCGCATCCACATATAGCCCGGACGTAGCGCCAAGGGTTACCACCTGTTCCTGTCCATGGCGAATGCCCTTGGTCGTGTGAAGTTGAACTCAAAAGAGGCTTGTGAAAAGTGGCTGTCCAATTCTTCGCAAATAAGGAGGGGGGCTTCTACGAGGAAGGTATTATGAAGTTGCCGTCTAATGGAAACAGATCATCGACAAAACGGCGCATATTTTAACTAAATCCGATCACTGTAACAGTTTTTATAAAGCATTGAATGAAGAGCAAAAGCGGAAGGGAGATATATGACAACCTTTATATTAGTGTTTTAAAAGAGGATATAGACTTATTCATAGGTTGACTGGAATAAAAATAAAACTGTTTCATGTTTCATTACTAATCGTGTTAGTTTTCAACATTTGAAAAACATATATACCTATATAATTGTACGCTCATTGCAAAAATAATAAAATACAAAAATAAAAGGAAAAACAATTTCTGGCGAACTGAGGTCAGGAAGAGGAAGCTAAAACAGAGATGGGAGTCGTTTAGTGGGGTATCTATTCTGCATTTTCTAAGAAAAAACTTAACAATGTAATGTATTTATTATTCTTTTCAAGAATTTTCCAAGGTTTCCGCACTGATTTATAATATATATTAATGGGAGACCTATGTCAACGTGGGTATTTGAGTCTCGTTAAAAGCAAAGCGAATGCAATAATCGTTGGCATAATCGCATAGCATTGAACACAATTGTGTGTTGAAGTATACAAGACTGGTGGATTTATTCTAACCAAGTAAACTTTGTAAAATACTCCAAGCCGATTTACATATCGCTATGTTTTTCTACAACTAAAACAGTTTGACTTTTCTTTGACCTAATCCCTTTGATCGATTTTAAGAATAATATTATATTAACTATAAAATATTTATCGCTAATAACCGTGTGAAAGTTTTGTAATCATGATTAAAGGTTTTCACTCACTCCTATGGATTAGCTTCAAAATGTTTAAAAACACTCAACTATGGTTCCACTTAATTACTGTACTTTTACAACATGTTGCAACAGAGTACAAGTATAATAGTTTTGTTATAATTTAATTTTTAATCAAAATCATCGAAGCCATTTTGCTGCGCTGGTCTTATATGATCACAAATTATACAAATGCCAAATGCATATATATTTACCCTAAACAGGATATATAAAGATGACCACGAAGTTAGAGAGAGTTAGAGAGGATATAAATATATATAAATGATCGGCGTGACAAGTTGAGTATTTAGCTGTTCCTCTGTCCATCCGTCATCTGGCTGTAAATACGCAAAGTCTATTGCCTCAGTTTTTGAGATAAAGATCTGAAATTTTGCACATTTCCTATACTCTTAAAGGGACTGCCATACAAACTGACCGATAAAAAATCAAGTTCCTGTATGGAAAACTGTCTCGTTTGACGAGATATCCTCAAAAATTTGACATGGTTATTTTCGAAGCAACGATACAATCTCCGAAAGAAATGAAATTCTTGTATGGAATCTTTTGTATATGTGCTTTTGTGAAACTAAGGTTAACGTTTTTCGTATTTA